AGAAGATCCCTGTTTTAACCGAATAGCTGGCCTGACTAGCGGAGCTGAACAACCACAAACTGACCACAGAGTTAATGAGCACAGCTCCATGCCAGTTTCCCAAAACAATCCCATTTTAAGCGTGTGTTTTGGTGCTCCTAGTTTAACTGAAAATGAACACGGTTAACTTGAGTGAGCAGGTAATATACACCATTTTTAATCAAGAAACTACATTTTAACCGAGCGGAAATACATAGTTTGTAGGCTTGAGACGACCAGTGCATCCTGGCCGAAACGTTGAGTCAACACTCACCGGTTCTTTTTAGAACCACAACTCCTCCAAAAGACATTGATTCCATGGTGTATCTGCAAGCCTACATCTCAAACTTCATCAGGTTTGTTCTTAAGCACCCTTCTTTAGATTTTGGATAACTCTATTGCCTCAAAGGAACATAAAGCATCATAATGCACCAATGACAATTGACAAAATGGACCTTCAAATGATTCTCAACTAAATACAATTGAGAACTGTACATTTGTACAAAGTAAAAAACTCACACTTTGAGATGTTTTCTGAGCTGGCATCACTTTCCGAATGAAGCCTAGTGGTGGTGAATGTATGTTATACAAAGAAATTCAAACAGTGTTATCCTGGTAACCATCTCTTACCTCATAGAGATGACTCGTAGAGCTGAGAACTGATGACAGCACACGTAGAGCTGCTTCTCGGATGGCTGTGCGATATTCATTCTTAAAGTAGCGATCCATCAAACCTTGAAGATTCTGAATCCAATCGACCTTGGTGGGGTGGATAGACTGAGCTCGGAATGACACCAGGGTCAAAACAGATGTCTCCTGGAGAAAGTGATTGAGAGTGATGAACGGATCACTTTTAATGAACTATCATGGCTGACATTGAAGAGAACATAACCCCACAATAGTAGTGTTGTACTTGCACTAGCAGAATATCCTAAAGTATGTGTAGTTTGGAAAGACGTCCATCAAAGACTTGGAATGGATTCTGAATAGGGGTTTTATAGGGTGTTGTCAAGGCGATTCATGACCACCAGGGAAGGGTACATGTACTGTCAAACCTCGTTATCCCCTCGACGACGGTAATTTCTTCCCGAAAGCCAACTCCAAGAATTCCAGCCTCGCTTGGCCATGAAGGCCACCTGCCAAACTGCAGATTCTCGGTTTGTGGCCCTGCGTGCTCTGCACACTTTGAATTACACGGTGAAGAGGCTGATTGTACGGTGGCATGCGGCTCTACTCAAGCTTCCACATTCCCGTTGCCTCCTTTCAAAATGGGGACNCGAGAATAATAGCTGAAAAGCCGGCTGAGCATCTCAATTTTTACGGCAGCTCTATCCGCGTCCCGGCGCGAAGGGGTTAATAAGAGGTCCTTGGGACTTCACAAATGACCGTTTTTGAACAGGAACCTTGTATTATCAGGAGTGGAAAACAATGAAAAAACAAAGACTTTAGACCTAAACTTTTTCTTCTAACATGAACCTTGTATTTACAGTGCTCTTCTTACTGAGGCTCAACTGCACAGTGCATGTGAGCTAAGATTCAGTAGTGTACAGAATACTTGCAGCTAACTTGTATACATTTATGGCTTACTGGTCTGATCTCGGCAAATTCTTCAACTATTCCAAATAATCTGGAAGCTGAACCACTGAAGGATTTGATGTCATGCAACATTTCTGTTGTCGTCAGAAGGTCATGGAGATCATCTGGTAGAAGTTCATGGGTTGAATAGATCTGGATAAAAACAAAACCAAGTCAGGATTGAAAAATAAACTATGTCATAACCACCACATCTTTCAATATTCTTTTTTTCATTTGCTAAGCCATGACAGATTTGGAAAACAAAACCTCTATCAAGAGTCCAGCTGGCATATTAAAACCTCTATCAAGATTCCAGCTGGCACATCAAAACCTCAATCAAGATTCCAGCTGGCACATTTCAAGGAAAAGCCAAAGTTTCAGTTCAAGGTACAGTCCATCATTTGTCATTTGTGCAGTGTCTTCCTTTGAAGCATCAAAAAGACTCAAAATCTCAGAAAGGATACCAAAGAACAAACCCACTGAAGTTTCAGCTGAATGAATACATTGTACATTCAAAGCAAAAATTCGTAAAATCAAAAGTTGATAAGTCAGGCTTTGAACTGCACTGGAAGTAAGCATTTGGGTCAATTTCTCAAGTTCGGTCAAATGCAGCTCCAAGATGTAACACATAGAACCAACAAATTCCAGTAACCACACGCGTGTGCTGTGTTAACACTTGTGCGCCATGCATCTTTAGAAACTTCTTTGGAAATGGCTTTCTTTCATTGTTTTCTTGAAAATGACAGCTTGCCAGAAAATTAATTTAACAATTCAGTCAGGAAACAACTTTAAACCAAGTATGCTTTTTGACAATAATTTTATCACTTACTGCAAATGATGGACTGTACCTTTAAATGCACATTTTGTGGCCACTTACCAAACTAAATATAATTTTTTCATATTGGTTGCTAAGGATTAACACCATAGTTTGTACATATTCCCCACTCTGCAAATATGGCAACTGACAACTGGAACACTGTCTACAGACAAAAAATGGAATGGTCTGATTTTTAAGATAACTGTTTTTGTCAAACACATTTCAGAAATTTCTCATCAACAGCCCTATCAAATAGAAGACGTGTCGCATAAAATACCTGTATGTTCTTAAAGAGATCCTCGATGATGTCCAGCACAATGTCCCAAGTCACTGGCTGCATGTCCTTGCCATATTTCTTGACCAATCGCTGCAAGGAGAGAGTCACTTCATAGGCAACTGTGGGATGTCTGCAACGTAAAGCCTGAGAAGAGAGACAGAGAAATGAAACTCGGCGACTTCCTTAGGGAAACTCAGTAATGAACTACCCTCTTGACGGGCCAACCTCAGCAGAACTTTGTTCAGGTCTACTACTGATATTAAAGTGGCACAACACTCGTATGCATGTCACACACAAGATTGGAACAACTGCCAGGTACGGTACTGAGTATATATTTGCAAGTTAGAAAATTAGTTGGTTACATAACCATTTTGTGCTGTCATTTCAAAAATCCAGCCCATAAACACAACTGAACTTTTTAATGTCTAATGCAGACTGTTCACAGTGTTTCTAATCAACTACATGCAAGGGCAACATAAAGGACAACTTTTCCCCTGTGTGAGGAAACATGCATTTTGAAAAGTCAAAACACTGCAAGTGGAAGAGGCATTGGACAAGTTGCATTTAATTCTGGTCACCCCAAATCTGCCCATAGGATCCCTTGCCCCTGACAAAAGGGCATAGTCAAAAACACCTGACTATTACCTTCAGGAATGACGGTAAGACAGAGGTGAAATTGTGTTTGAGGGAAGCCACCCTCATAGACCCCCATCGGGCCATACCAACATAGAACACCGCCCCTCTCAACAGAATCACATCTCCTTGGTTCTGCCTGATATCACAAGACAAAAAGCTAAGGTCACAAATCAAACAAAATCATGACTGAATTCATGTGAGACTTGGTCAAAGTGATAACGATTGGTTTATCCATTGCTGATATTTCGTTCAAGCAGTGCTCATCTGATAAAAAAGAGA